GTCAAGTGGTTGATTATATCCGATATTTTGGTATTCCTGTCAGAAGAAGATAGCCAATAAAACTCGGCTATTATCGTAACTGTATCCGCGTGGCATTCTTAGAATGTACATAAGAATTGTGAATCAACTCTGATAGCATTCAGTCATTGTCATGGCTTCTCCGATTCTTGTGAGTGCTTTCTATTTGATCTTTGCCTACTGTTTCGGTGCTCATTGTTATGTACAACGTAGTTGTAGGTTTATGAATTGAATTTGCGGATAAATCGTCTGACGTAATTTTTTGAACTTGTTTATGATCAGAGTGCTGAAAGCACTTAGAGCATCATGTTACATCAAAACGTCTGGCTATCCTGAATAAACAAAGTGAACTATCCCGAGAAAAGGTTGCTATTTGGTGAAATAGTAGTTATTACGGCCAATCAGTAGCGATACCTTGAAGTTATCACATCGACAATAAGTAAGGCAGCCCATGGGGCCCAATTGAACCAAAATGATTGTATTTCATAAGTTGCCCACATTTCAGATCGAGCGAACCTGTGGCTGGCCAAGCTCCATAATTCACGGGATTGTCACCCACCTTGCTAGGTTTGCCAACTTTCAGGTCGCGGTCATACTTTGCGAATGCCTTGCGCTTCGTTCGCAGTTCGAGTTTGGAATAAATGCGTATCGATCTCGCGACCAATCCCATTTCGCAACGAGCCATAGACGGTGCTGGCTACTGAATGCTTTACAAACCATACAATCACTTGCGGGCCTTTTTCCTCCAACACAAGCCTGGTACCAAACAGTCAATCTCGGAACGCGGAAGGCTCTGTTGGCCTGGATGGTCCACGGCTTGATCTCCGTACCGTGTACGTGACCGACGCCACCTGCCACTGCATCACTTCCGCCTGTTGCAAGTCTATCAGCTGCAATGTTTGTATTTCCTGATGTGCAGGAAGCGGTGAAATCCATATAAATGGCTGCGACATACTGGCGATCAGCCAGACGAGTGGCATATGATATCACCAATGGTATCAAACGTGATCCCAGTCCGTGGACAGATGTACTACTAAGCCTGCAATTACGGCATGTTTGGCCACGCAAAACAGTGTGTGTATATTTAGCTCAAAATTATAGCATGCAGCGATTTTCGCTTCATTGAGCAGCACTGAGGCATCAAAAATCAAAACACTTCTGAAGAACAAAATTACTATGTGTGGGAATTCTTGTCTCGAGAGTGCTCTTCGCAATGGACACAACCTGCCTATAGCGACAGTACGAAATGGAGTATTTTGAGATCGCCTGCACCATCCTCAAACCATTCCGCGTGAAGTTCGAAAGCAAGGGTCAAAAGAAAAAAGCTTAAAACAAGGTTTAAAGCAATAATTTGCAATGGGTCTCGATCCATAAAAGGATAAAGGATTTGCCGTTGATCAATCCCTTTTTGGGATGCGGCACGCATTCTACTTCCATTTGTACATTCGTAGTGGCGTTTGAATGCGATGTGGCCTATACAATGACTTGCGGGGGCCAGCCGATGTACAAGTCAGTGTTTTTATCCTCCCAGACAAGTCTGGTACCAATTAACCGACCCCGGAGGGATGGAAGGCTTGGCGACCCACGACCCAGGATTTGATCCCCGGACCGCTCGCGTGGTAAGCGTGCCACTTGCCACTGTCTCGATACATGAAGAACACAAAAAAAACAATTGTGTTCTGCATTATTCAACGTCTCCTTGGGGTGCGCCACGCATTCTATTACAGTATTCTTCATTCGTTTCCTATGTATTGGCACTTGGAATTCCTTTTGACATATATAGAGAAGATGAAGTTGAAGAAAAGACAATAATGTTTATCGATGGCTAGAATGTTCAAAGGAAGTGATCACGGTGGCTGAAGAGTGTTGCGGTGACGCAAAATGACGTCACCAAACCGAACCGCACTTCATTGTGATCACTGCCTTTAGTTACGATGTGCGAGGTAAATGAAGTCCGTAAGTGGGAAATTGGAATCGCACAACAAGATCCGAGCTGTCAAACCACACGCCATCCGTCACTGTCGCCTCATAGAATCTCCCCGCTCTGGCAGCTTTTATCACTTCTCGGGGCTACCAACGACCGTCAACTTCAATGAGCCCTCAACTTACACAATAGACACCGAAAAAGGCTTAGACGAATCAATTACTTAATGTAACGGTTTCCTTCCTCACAATGCTGCGGTACTTGATGCACAAATCAGTGTATCAGTTCTCCTGACGAGTCTAGTAGTAAATAGGTTAACCGACGCTGTGGACACCAGGGTGAAGTATCGGTCGAGGAAATCCTCGACAGGGGGGTCGTACCTGTCAGGCTGGGTCATGGGGGTCGTACTCGTGGGGTCAGTAACGTCAGTGGCATCGTGGTGCAGATAGGAGTAAGAGGGTGTAGCGCAGCAGAAAACGAAGATATGTGAGGAAACATGATTAAAATATTCTTTGCAGGTTCAGTCGCTCCATTCCTCTACCTTCATGAGAAGGAGGTATTTGAAAGCAGTACAAAGAATGAAAGTGCATCCCGCAAGGAACGAAAGTGCATACTCGCAAGGAACGGGGCCACATGTGCACACATCGGGCACTAGCGACTTCTGTGACCAGTGCGCGATCCGTCGCAGAATTCGCGCGAATCGCGCGACCGATCGCGCACTCTGACAGCAGCCTGTGACTGCGCCGTCGTCCGAACACTCACCGCTCTCTTACCATGTGTACGATCCGGGACATTCTGGGTCGTACTTCAACAAGTTAACCAAGCCCACTATCGCTCAGGGGTTTGTGAATTGGTACAAGTCTTGCCTGGGGTGGGTAAACAACACACTTGTACGTCGGCTAGCCCTGTAAGCCGTTGTGTGAGCCAAATCGCATTCGAAAGGCCACGACCTTTCTGAGTGGAAGTTGAAAGCTTGGTGCACCCCAAAACGGACTGATCAGGGAGAAGCTGAATGAAACACATTCCCAGCGATGGGTGTATTTGGCGTGAGCTAAGATGTGTTCTGTGTAATGCATGACACGATGCGTTTTAGTTGTCGCCTGTCTTCGGTAGTTTTTGCTTATTTGGCATTTGTGTTATTTGAGTTATTATAAGCATTGGTTTTGGTGCTGAAGTGATACCTTTGTTGTTTTTAGAAGTTAGACACTCTCATATGATTAACCCTTGCTCTTTTTCTTGAGTGTTGTTCTTGTTTGCGTCCTCAGCTTCAAAGTTGCCTTGCCCCCTTTGATATTTGCATTTAGATGGAGTCGATGCAATCTGTTTTACCACCATCCATGAGCCCAGGATGGAACGACCCACCAAACTTGGGTGTACCATCGCCGGGTGCCAATTCTAATCGATTGACACAACTCCGCAGAAGATTGGTCGATCCATCGATATCGGTGAGTTATCATGGATTGAACATTTGTATAGCTTCAAAACTTAATTAATATCTACGATACGCCAACGAGTTGTGCTTCATTGTGGAAGTAATGGGCGCGTTCCTAATCAATTTATAGTAGTTACACCAATTTTTTAGTACTTCTTTTTATTTCGCCTTCGTGATACTGAAAAGCAGTAGCTGTTTCGTAGTATGCTTCTTACTCTTGCAATGATTAATTGAAGCAACTTCCCAGATTAGGTCATGTGGAGTAATTTATTCTTTGGGTAGGATGGTGTTGCTCGCGAGGATGCAGATGTACCAAAAGTGTGCGACAATAGCCCTTGGGCCGTTAAGAGCTAATGAGAGCAAATGTGAGCTAAAAGAAGAGATATCTCGCGCTCATCCCTACGTAACGTTTGTGGTGACGCATTTGATCAGATAGCCAAAACATTGATAAATGTATAAGTTACAAACAAATAAGTAAAGGATGACAGCCTCACCGCATTGATGCGGTTGTGTGTTCGAAAATTCGTCTATGCTAATGTCAGAGTCCGCGATCCGTCGTTCGATTCAAATCGGCAAAATTGGAAGTGTCTCATTTGAGCATTTGAAACACTCGAAACAATTAGAGTCATGAACAGTCTTCATTCAACCATCACCAGAAATGGCGACGAGATTGAAGAGCACCTAGCAGTAATGACTGAGGCACGTGGTTTCTGTGCTCCATCGCGCGATTCGCCCGAATCGCGCGACAGTGTTTTCCTACTATTCGGGGTTGTGACTTAAAATTTCATTGACTTTTTTGTTTTTTATGCATGAGATTGATTCCGTTCTAGGTATTTGGATGATATTTCTTTAATTTTCAACAGCTTTGACTGACACAAGTTTTTGTTTCAAAATGCTGGGGTCAGGCCAAACTTCCCATTTCGACTTGCGCTCGGGTGTGAATAGTTACTTACGATCTCGCAATTCTGAGATCGTGCGATCGCATGACAACGCGTATACTCAACACTCAAACTCCAAAGTATGACGGAGGTGATCTGTTTGCGCATGACAAAAAATTCCGGTGATAATTACATTGCCCTTCTGTTCTTCTCTGCTTGATTGTCATTATTTAAGGGAGGATCACCCACTGCTGGCAATATGATGATGCAGCAAGGTCATGGACAGGGACATCCATCTCACAATTATACGGGAGATGTCAACAGGTAGAGTGTTGTCAACTAGTTTTTGAATCAGAACATTCAGCGTTGGTGAATATATTCCCCATTTTGGCGTTTATTTCTGTTCTGCTGTTTACTGAAGGTCAATTGTAAGGCCGATGTCAGACTTTGCGAATCGCGCGATTCGCTACTAGCGATTCGCGCGATTCGCAAAGTCTGACATCGGCCTTAAGAGCGAAGTTGGACAAAGCTTCGAGACGATCATCTGATAGTATTTAGTTCTTTTCGCGGGAAAAAGTTGATCAAGTTTCGGCCAAGCTTTTGAAAATCCCAGCTCACGCTAGAATGGTCTTCTGAATAGTTCCGGACTCGAAAATTGCAAAATACTAAATTCTCATTAGCAGTCTAGATTTCAGGATTGTACTGTACTCAGATAATTGTACCAATTTTGCAGCATACGGTTAGAGCTCAGGAAAATGACCAGGCTGGGAGTGCTTGCAGCCGTTATGAGCTTAAAGGGAAAGTGGCGACAAATAGCATTGTTTATGCTTTTTTATCGTATATGCCAACCAACCAAGATTTTTTTGTACTGCCTGTGGTCACAACCACAACTTCCATGTAGTGTTATTATGAAAAGTGCTGGGTTTTTGCCTCCTTTTACACTGCTCTAAAATTGATTCCCTCACGGTCTCTTATAATTCATCCTGAAACTTTATAAACACAAACACGCCTAAACGTTGACGTCTTGTTCTACGTTTCACGATTGATATTCACTATAAGATTGCTGATTACATATTGATAAATTTCAGTCCAGTCTCACACGGCAATACTTCATCCACAAATATGTATGAGGTAAGTCTTGCTGCCATACTAATTCTTCTTTGGTCCATTCTTTTATCTTGCATCAGTATATTCCATTATCACCACTCCAGTGCTAGGAACATGGCGATTCAAATATTTACTCATAAATTTCATATTTTGTGAGGATGTCCTGAAAAACTCAGAAAAAATGATCCACTATGTTGTGCTGGTTTGAGTGAATCTCACTACCGTCTCCTCTCTCAACAAAAGTAAGAAATTCAAAGTACCAGTAGTCCTGGGGCGGTATTCAATCCTTCCCCCAGGGGTTGGGGGACGAAAATCCCTTTAAATTTTCTCTGTCTTCCCAACTGGGATTGTCCTGATAAAGGGCCTAGGTTAATGTATCCTACTTACTATAAAGCGCTTCGTCTGTCGTCTGTCTGTCTGTCGTTCTGTATGTCTGTCACGAAATTCCCTAGCTCCTCGGGATCCGCCTGGAGGGACCGGGTCAAGTGTGGGATGGGTGGGCAAGGTCTCACGAATACAAACACACATCAGCTAAGCGGAGCCCCGCCCACAGAGGGCGTGGCGTGCGTCGAAATGAATTGTACCGAAGACCAAGATTTCGATTTCAGTGACAAAACGACCTCGAAACTGGGCCAAAAAGTGGGTAAGGTGTGCATTGGTAAGTCACATCGAATTAGGGAGACCCACCCCCGGTGGGCGGGGCGTTCTCTAAAAAAGCAGTGCTTTATGAAAAATTTCATAACTCGGTTGGGAGAAAGCCTACAGAGCAGAAAACAATTTGGTGTAAGGGAGCAATGTCTAAGGTGTTTCCGCATACATGACGTGGGCGGAGGCCTGCCCAGAATGGGCGGGGCGCGCTCTGAAGTGTACAGCATTTTCTACAAGCCCTCATAATTCGGGTCGGGGAAGTCCTAAAGAGCCGGAAAAAGGTGGATAGAGGTGGTGGAGGAGTGGAGGCCAGCTGTCAATGGTGGGCGGGGCTTGACCAAAGTGGGCGGAGTTTGCGACGAAAATTTATAACTCGGCTCCATGAAGCTCCGGAGGCTGGGGAAAAGGTGGATAGAGGTGGGTGGAGGAGTGGAGGTTAATTGTCATTGGTGGGCGGGGCCTGACCAAAGTGGGCGGAGTTTGCGACGAAAATTTATAACTCGGCTCCATGAAGCTCCGGAGGCTGGGGAAAAGGTGGATAGAGGTGGGTGGAGGAGTGGAGGTTAATTGTCATTGGTGGGCGGGGCCTGACCAAAGTGGGCGGAGGTAACTTTATGCTATACGAAATATACGGGGTTAGAGGTTGGTGAGGGAAAAGAGCTCAACTGCTATCACTGGGTAGAGCACGCACCTAAGTGGGCGGAGTTTGCCAAAAGTGTCGTAATTTGGTTCCAAGAGGTCCCAGAGACCGGTGAAAAAGGGGGTAGAGGTCGGCGAAAAGAAGGGAGCCAAATGCTATTGGTCGGCAGGGCACGCACCGAAGTAGACGGAGTTCGCCACGAGATTTATTGTCCGGGCCGAGGACCGAGAAAAATAGGATAATGGTTGACGAAGAAAGAGCGCATAGAATTTAGCGGAGAATTCAGATATTCGTATTGTATCAAGCCAAATTTGAAATTTTTCGTCGCACCATCAAAATTCGCCACAGATCTGTGTTGCGCGCGCAATGCGTGCGGCGCCAACTGGTATATTTATGTCACAGTAAGCATGCATTGAAAATGAAGAAACTACATCGTTAAAAACAAATAAATTTAAAGGGATTTCCGTCCCCCAACCCCTGGGGGAAGGATTGAATACCGCCCCTGTTCAAGTCCGCATGAACTGCGCTGTATAGTCCCTGGACAAATGGGGATGAGACTACATTTTCAAGTCAATCGACTCTAGCTTTCGCCAGATGCCTGAGCGTGTCGCTTAATCTAAGATTGTCTACCATTTCGTAAGCGACCTAGGACATGGGAGTATCCACGATCACGAGCACTGGCCGTTCTTCGTATCATGTCCTCCTACTGTTTTCGTTTCCATGATCTTCAAGTGGATGTGTTCGAACAGAAGGTAGACACAGTAGAAGAAATATACTACAAAACATGCGATTTAGGCCCCGACTTCAATTAAGCTTAGTGGATGTGATTATATATAACCGTTTAGCTCGACCACTACCGCCGGTGCATGCATAAAGGCTTCGGTGAAACTGGACAGTCGGTGGAGGGTCAATTCCACCGGTACGAAATAAAAATCTTCGTGAAATGCGTTAGCTGAGTGTCCGCTTGATACGCGCGGTGGAGTGCGGAGCTAAAGTGATGTCTGTAAACAACCACCATGCATCTAATGTCAAAATAATTTAGCGGTCGAACAATCTTCAATACTACGCATGTTGGAATCTAAATACCCAGCACTCATTATCATGTTTCTTAAAACATCCATCGGACATTTTTTGGAACTCGGGGGAGTGTAGCGGCCGAATGGTAATTTTGCTGAAGAATGATATGGAAGTGAATTGCGCTATTTCAAATGTGTTTTTGACTTATCTCCACAGTGTACACATATCGTTGTTATCAGTCCTTATTGGCCGTTATCACTTTCTGTCCCCCACCAAACATGTTCACATCCCACCCTGCACATCCCTTCAAGGAACCAACGCCCCACTGTTGCTGGGACGCCGAGCTATGAATTTCGTGGAATTTGCGTTCTAGCGCCTCTTATCAGCTCTTATCAGTCGTTATCACTTTCTGGCCCACCAAAACATGTTCACGTCCCACCCTGCACATCCCTTCAAGGAACCAACGCCCCACTGTTGCTGGGACGCCAGCTATGAATTTCGTGGAATTTGCGTTCTAGCGCCCTCTTATCAGCTCTTATCAGTCGTTATCACTTTCTGTCCCCCACCAAACATGTTCACGTCCCACCCTGCACATCCCTTCAAGGAACCAACGCCCCACTGTTGCTGGGACGCAGCTATGAATTTCGTGGAATTTGCGTTCTAGCGCCTCTTATCAGCTCTTATCAGTCGTTATCACTTTCTGGCCCCCACCAAATATGTTCCCGTCCCACCCCCTATATCATGCCCAAAATCAGCTCCTGACGACTGCTGCGAAGCGCACTATGAATTTCGTGAAAATTTGTGTTTCAGCGCCTCTTTATCTGCTCTTATCAGTCGTTATCACTTTGGTGACCCCCACCAAATATGTTCCCGTCCCACCCCCTATATCATATCAAAAAATCAGCTCCTAACGACTGCTGCCGACGGCGTGCTATGAATTTCGTGACACACGCACACACACACACACGTACAGACATACATAGCGTTTTATATATAGTCAGGCGCACTATCATATGGCGTCGTCTCCGCAGTACGGCTACCACAGTTCGACTGCTTAGGCGAAGTGCCGTTAATAATGTCCTATTTCTACCCTGAAAACAGCTTAAATTCACGGGCTTATTGAACCTGAGAGTCGGAGCCTTTCCTTGCTGGTTGGACTTACACGATGCAACTTTCATCGGTGCCGCCTCAATTCACACGCCTAACGCTCTCTCTCTCCCTCTCTCTCTCTCTCTGCTAAACAGCTGGAGACCTGAAACGCGTGGGAAGCAATTTAGTGGGCGTACCACGTCGATAACGCCGCGGAGAGGGGCATACTAGGTCGCTGGGGGCATATCCTTCGCTGTAAATTGCATGTCGGTCCTCACTCTTAGGAGGGAGGGGGCGCCTGTCGAGGATTTCCTCGACCGATATTCACCCTGATTACGAATACGACGATGTTTCTTATTTACTATGTTATCACCAAAGATTTTGAGACTGTAGAAGTTTTTTTTCTTCGATTTCAAACGTCGTCGGCATTAGGTGATTTCCTTCGTGGCGGAAACTTTATCACGATTATCATAAATACCCTTGGTGGTTTCGAGGATTGTTTCTTCACCACGACACACCTTCCTTTACTTTTTGGAAACTCACTGCATTCATATTTTGAGCAGAAAGCCATTGCAGATAATACGAACGTTTTTATCTTAAAAGCGATATCCATTGCTTTTTCAGACGGGACATCATCAACTTTATGAATATATAGCGACGTTCAGCTCCATCTTCCAGGCAGCTGCCTAGCTGCATCGTCAATCGGAAATTCATGTCGCAGACATTATCAGCCAATCTATGTTGGATGCCAGTATCAGCCATACTCCAGGGGATATTCCAATCCAACACACCTCAAAAGATGAAGCTGTACAAAATCATCTACTCAAAAAGCAAGCTCAGCCAGGATACTCCACATCTACTCTATACTCTTATCCGCAAACCACTGCCATAACTAACCAGGAAGGTCTAAGTGTTATAGCCAATGGACAACATTCTGCAGCGCGCAGGATCGAATATGCAAAACGGTGCAGGGAATAACGCGCAGTTTTTTCACCAACTACAGTATCACGATGCCCCTCCGATAAGAAGGTACTTTTTTGATGCGCATTTTCTTTTTCATTATTTCGAATGACAAGACCATTTCAAATCACAGCACATTCGTGTGCATAGGTAACGCATGCACAGGTAACGTAATGTTTTGAATGTTTGTTTGGGGCAAGTTAACTTCCCAGAGCTTGATTCCTAATTTCAGTGAACTAAGGAGATACTAGGCAGTTGCGTATAACCGATATATAAACTCACATTCAAACTGTTATACGGTTCCATGGTATGGTCCTCTTTCACAAAAACAGCATTGAATGGAATAACTGTATGGCCGGAAGTTGTTGAGTGGAAGAGCTCAAACTCCCATCTCTACTTATTTTTTATTCAGAACTTGGGTCCTGTTTTAGCAAAAAGAATTTAGTAGTAGGTTTGTTTGCTTTTAAGGTGATTAGTAGACCTGGTGGAAGCTTGTGAAGGCATCTTAGCAGTGCATCACCTTGTCTAGTTTCTATTTCTAGTCTAGCATATCCGCTTCAAAAAGTGGGACCGGTGATGGTCCGATTTTAAGCTCTCAGGGCTATTAGGTCCAACGGCTGCGATGCATGGTTTTTTCAATTCCTTGTTGATCTGTAGCAACAGTTCTTGCTCTCTAGCTTAGGGAGGGAAACTAACTATCGGGCTTTTTCTGCTTTCGATGTACCACGTGCCCTGTTCAGATCGCCTTATTCAATCGTTTGACCGGTCGACGATTTCCATCTTCGTATACGAACGGAACCCTGCGAAGTGAGCATCTGCCCATTGCTTATGGTCGCTGCTGATGGTTGCTCTCGGTTTCATGTAGTCAATTTACTTGATATTATATCTTCTCGGTATTTCTATAGAAAAAGATCAGCCTACTATGGACCTGTGCTGCTCATCTTTCCAAATAATTCTAATTTATCAGCATTTTCCAATTATGACACATGTGTATATACGTATGCTGTTTTCAACTCTGAAATTGTTAAGTAACAGTTCTCGGGTTTGGAAAAACCAAATGAAGCAAACAAACCGATTCTGCGCTGTAGGGCCGTGGGCTCACATGTGTGAGCCGGGGATGGGCATCCTAAAAGGGCTGTGCATGACCTAGCTGGCAATTGAGAATAGCTGTTGTTGGGTTGAGGGCAAGTGAAACAGTAAAGTCTCATATTTAATTTCCAAGTCCAACCGAATATCTTTTCTTCGTTTCTTCCATCATTCTTAAGAAATCTCCGACTTCGTGACTTTTTTCACACTTCATATCGTGGCGGGGCTAGCTGGACGAATGGTTGTGCACTCAAGCGGTTCTCGCGTTCCGTAACGCAGCCCTGACGGAGCCGCTTGCAACAGCGGGAGACCAACCGATTCGTCCGCGCTCGCCACGGCCACGCCTTTACGTGTGAAAAAAAGTCGTAGCCAAAACCACATTTGGAGTTGCAGCTAGGCTCGGCTCGTGCGGATTTTGAACTCCTTTTCCAGTCTTTTATATTTCGGCCAATCATTTTCTACCATCGGTATATGCACCATCACTATCAGTGACTTGCTAACAATGCGTGACCAGAGGTGGAGGCCTTACCTCTATAAAATTGGCGGTTTCGAGCAGAAAAAGGCAGTGAGGTCGATTTCAAGGTGCCACTGGGAATCGTGTTTTTGCCCACTAAGACGCTGAGAATTGGAATTAGCAGGAGCTTTCAACTAAGGTTGAAAGGATCTGGAATATTGTAATCTTGATTATGGGGTCTAGGCTCGTCTGTTGCGATAGAGAGGTCGTCAATGGTCAGCTCAACGCTTCAGCGGAGGCTGACTTGAATTTTCGGTGAATTTGTCAGCTTCTAGGCTTCTTCTACTTCATCCAGCTACGGTGCTTCTGCCTGAGGTTGTCGCGAAACCATCACTTCTCATTTGTAGAGGCGGCTTGTAACGTGCACACTTGTTTAATGGGATTAAGGTTATAGACGGAGCTTATCTCCTACTCTTGAGATTATTGGCCAACTAGTGAGGAATACTCGGCTCAGTTTCAACAATTCACGAGAGCTGAGGTCTGATGCCCCAAAACGTCTGGATGCGATTACCATGCAGCAGTCATTTCGTGCGATTTTGCTTTCATGGGAGAGCGCAATGGGTTCAACCTGGACAGGCCAATCTAGACCAATATTCTTTCTTGTCTGAGTTTTAAGTCTGAAAGGAATCCTGGTCCAGAAGTGATCGAATATTTTGGCACCGCGCGGTAGGCAATGACAAGAAGATGCATCGAAGGGCAGATGCCGTCGGGCTTTGACAGTATTATTTCCCAATAGAAGGTTACAAAGCAATTTGTGATAATAGAACTCGAAAAGCGACCAGAGCCGGCCGCTTCGTTTACAATAAGCTACAACTTAGGCGCTGTCCTTAGCCTTCGTAGACTGATTTAAAATCCCTTGAGAAAATACGGCATGAGATCCAGAAACGCACACGAGCTTCTGAGATACCCTTATATCTCATGATGTGTCACCGGGCGGTGATTCCGAATCTTCTTCCATATTTGCCTACCGATGATTCAGGACATGAAGACTTTTTTTGTGCCAAATAAAATGTGCACAATAAAGTTAATTCAAATGGGGAAATTTTATGGTTATTAGCTGAAGGCGAGTAGACAAGAGTAGGAGTTTGACATTGGAGTCCATTGATGCAGTTGCTGACCTTTGTCTTTGACGCTCCGATAGTTTAGAATTTGAAAATGGAAGGTTCTAACGAAACAAAGCATTCGGTTCTGTTCTGCTGTGTTGTAGCGCATAGTTGTCCTTTGATTTGGTACCAGCTAATTCTTCGTTTGTTTCATCGTCGAACTGATGTGATTAAGCTTTTTGATTTCAATTTTCACTCATCCATAGGTGATGTAGTGGCAGAAGGAGTCGCTTCGACCGAGCCCAAGCATAGTGGTAGGGAAAAATTCAGAATCAGCATGACCTTTTCCCCTTCGTGGCAGCATGAGCTGGGGGCACCATCATAGGTCCCTCCTAAGGCCGATGTCATAGTTTGCGAATCGAACGAATCGCTCGAGTTCGCACGTTGCGGCCGACGCAACATCGTAACCGATGTCGAAAAACCTCGCGCAGTTTGAACTATGGTACCGAACACAAAAGCGCGTCGAACGCCTGCTACACCGGACCTCAATAGTGGCCGGGACTATAAGTTTACAAGGGATGGCCCGGCCACTACACAAACCACATTTCAAACAGTGTCCACTGTCAAGTCCCGCCACTTTTTCAAAAGGGTCCACTGTCACGTGACACTGTTTCGAAAGTGGCGGGCTTCCTTTGAACGTTGGGTCCCGCCACTATTGAGTCGCTGGTACATCGTTCGACTCGCTGGTACATAGTTCGACTCGCTGGTGCAACGTTCGATTCGCTGGCGCAACGCTCGGATCCAGCGATCGCTCGATTCGCAAACTATGACATCGGCCTAACGGTCGCGGTGGTTCTTTTCTGGTGATAGTCTGGAAACCCCGAAGCAGAACCATGCGTAGCGTCGCATCAGAATTTGCCAAGCCTATCTAAATCTCTGGAATCCATTATGTGCTTCTAGAATGCTGGCTGCTTTACAAGAAAACGCAGATAGTTCTCTCTTGGAAAATTTGAGTTTAAGGGTCAACGATTTCGAGGGTTGGGTTTAGGTTGAGCGCCGTTCGCTGGAAAACCATATACACCCTTATCCCTTCGTCGCGTTATTGAATTGAAAACAAGACTGGTGAAGAGCTGTGGGACTTCCGACAAAGACCGAACCGACTGAGGTGGGGGCTGCCATTTGCCATTTGCACTGCTGCAGTATGTTCAATGGCGTTCGAGCAATTCTGCGTTTATGGTCCTTTCAATAATGTGACAGCCATTATTGTTATCTGCGCTGTGGAGTGGAGGCATTCGAGAAACCAGCACGTAGTGTGCCTTGTGCTTCCTATACCCATTAACTTATTTCACCCGTTACCATGGACATGCGCTGAGTGACAACGTCTACCTATCACAATTGCCGTCGTATTGCTGCGCCTCAATCTTTCACGCCATTTTCTCATCCACTTCATTGACTTCATGGCAGCCGTTGTTTAACGTCATTCATACGACGATCTGGGGTCCTTATTCACGCCATAGAGCGGGGTTCATTTAGATCTACCATGCTTTATCTCACTGTTGCCCTGATAGTTCCTTTTTATCGCTTCGGTAGTTGCACAATAGCGTTTTATGCCTTGTCGGGTTGAGTTATTTACGATCAGCACTTTGAAGGTGTAAAATTGAAAGGAAAAGGTATCAGTTCGTTGGCGGCAGCCCGTTGTGCGTGTGCCTCGACATCATTTTTTTGATATTTTTTTCTAATTCATCATTACCCCCTAGAGTTCCGTTCCTTTTAATGAATGTACTATCTGAATCGGATAATGTAGAGAACTAGCGTTGGAACATGAAAAATACCAAGCAAATTGAGGAACGCTAATCTCATTTGCCAATCTCATTGTGAAGATCTGACGCGCATGCACGTGACGGTGTCGTCAATGTGTTCAACAAACTTCCAGGATGCGCCACGCATGGTACTTCCGTCCAGGATCATAGTGGCATTTTGGATGGGATTTAGCCTATACTATAACTTCAAGGGGTCTGCCGAGCTACAAGGCAGTGTTTCCATCATCTCAAACACATCTGATAGCATTCATGTCAATTAGCGACCGC